GACCATCTGTAACATCTACTCAGTGTTATTGATAATGATGTACACTTGGCTAGATTGTTAAAGAAACCTCTTCATCCACTACAGGAAAATAAATCAGTACTTTTATATTCTTAGGATTTGTATATATTTTTTATTTGTAAATAAATTGTTTTTTTACTTCATTTTTCTCATTTTTTATTAAAAGGTTAATAAATAAAATTTTCACAGATTTTTATATTTTTGTTTGTAAACAATAATTGAAGTTTTTATTAAAAATCACCAATGTTAATAATAATAACTTAAGTCAATATTATTCTTTCTCCTTTTTTAAAGCCACTATTAATAAAGGTATTACTTTAGCTTGACCTATGATCAATTTTTAATTTTGTGATATATTTGGTTTGACAGAAAAAAAATTAAAACCCTTTGACATTGGTTGTTTTTACTTAGATTTTCATAAAAAATAAACGGAACTGCAAACATGTTTTACTATCGTAATAACGAATAGCAACATGAAATTTTTTTTTCACATTTATCACTGTTTTCATTTTCATAAGAAGGCACACTTTCTGGTTTTTTGAAAAAGGTGGCAAGCATTGTGATATTTTTAAATTTATCACCAGTGATACCACATGTAGTTACCCGATTTATTGGAATATATAGACTTTGCTACCACATTCAACTGAACTTGGTTTTTAATATTTATCACTGTGACATAGGCGTTTTTGTTAAAATGTTTCATTTTAAACTGCTGTAAATAGGTGCCTTTGTTTTGGTAGTTTTAGTCCCAAAAAAATCTATGCATATACAGGTACTCATTCCTCTTCGATTTGCTCGAAAAGTTAAATTTTTATCAAAAATTACATTGGCTGTTTAAAAACTCATTATAATCCCTGAAATGTGATAATTAGGTAAATTAAATTAAAAAACAAACAAAAAAGTTTATTAAATTAATATTTACTCTTACAAAATAGGTTCTTGTAAGTTAACAAGCAATTATGCAGTTATTACTAAGTAAATGTACTTGCTTAAAATTCACACACGAATGTGGTTTTAACATGTTAAATTAACTAACCCTTCTTATAACTCTTTCCACATGTATTCTTAGAGATGCTATTCTTTTACTTAATTGTACATCTTCTGGAGAAGTTTTTTCATTCTGTGATACACTAGGTGTGGCTTTACTAAAGTGTATCCCATGTTTTCAAGTAGCTGATTATTCTGAAACCGCTATCTGCCATTATATGGGATCCAGGAACCAGTTTGTTTAAATACCCACATTTTTCCATTATTTCTTTATCACTAGTTCTTCCACAAAATGATGAATAAATTCGGTATCTTCAAAACTTTCAGGAGATTCTGCATTTTCTTCCAGAAGGGTTTTTAGGTTATACACCTAAGAATTTATAGTAGGTAGCCTTATTTTCAATTTCCTGAAGGGGACAATTAGCAGAAATTGCTGCTACATCTTGATAATCCGGTGTATTTTTATTAAAAAGTTCACGAGAAACATCGCTAGTAGAAGGTTGATTTTCTTCTTTCCAAATTTCTAGGAACACTAATAAATATTTTTGAAGATGAATGTGAATCATTATCACATTCCGGAACAAAACACTTTTTCGTAGTCATAATATTTATAAAAAGTACAAAATTAAACAATCAAATTCCAAATAAATTCTTGATGGAGACACTATGATGACAGATGCCATACACAGTGCTGCCATTTTGCCATTTTCTGAATTATTAAGTGACTTTTAAAACAATGAAACTTTAAATATGGTAAAAGTTTAAACAGAAATAATACTTTAAAAAAACATTTGATATTATATATTTAAAAGATATTTGTTTAACGATGTTTTAGAAGTCTAAAAGTAAGAAGGAGTACACAAACGAACGTACATCACTTCTCGTAAACCTTCTAGCCGGCAACGTTGTGCGCTAGCTCCTATTGGTCTATTCCCGGTGACGTCATAAATTTTAAAAAAATTCATAACTCCGGCAAATGAATAGATAAAAAAAAAAATAAAAAAAATGTAATTTTATTTTCAACTCTATTATTCATAAAAAAAATTTCAAAATTTTTGAACATGCCCCATTGTAGTCTTTCCGCGTATGATGGTCCAAAGGTTACTCTGGTAGCCCGGTGTTGAACATTTTCTAAAAGGTTCTGGTCTCGCACAAGAAGCGGACACCAAACTAAACCTGCATATTCTAACATAGGTCGAACGTAAGTCTTAAATAATTTGATGGATGTATGATGTAATCATAATATGTTTTTAAATGACTCTGTTCCCAAAATAGTGATGAAACACATAATCTAAGTATTTACATATAAACTTTATAAAAGCTTCATTTGGCATGTTTAGATTTCAAAAGTATCGAGAGTACCGTTTTTATAATAATATGCTCTAAAATAAAAATAGTTGTCTTATTTAACTCTGTGATATTTTAATATAGCTTTGCATAGTAGGGATCAATATTATTTTTAAAAAAATATAAAAAAAAACTAAAATGATGATTGTAATCCCTCCTGTTTTTTTTTTTTGGTAGCGGGTAGATTTTAGACAGTCGGAGTTCTTTGGAAATAAAACTTTATTCTAACAATTTATATAGAAGTAACAATATTTACAAAATGTAAATGAAAAGATTCTGACTAAATTTCGATTCGTCGTGTCTTCAAATGTTGTTCCTCAAAATATATTTCGTGCGTCGCGTCGTCGGTTCGATGTGACTTTAGTGGTCCAGGATGGTGTGGCGACGATGAGACAAGAGCTTAGATTACCTTTACGGTGATGGAAGTCTCTCAAATTCAGTACCTTCGTGGGAGAGATTCACGGGGAAGGAAAACCTACAAAATCAATACCTTTGTAGGTAATGGTCGGGACGTCGGGAAACCTACAGAGTCAATACCTCTGCAGGAGCAGGAGAGTCTTGCTAAGTCAAAACTTTAGTTCGACTGACGAGAATTTTTGTTTTATATTGACTTTTTCATAAGTTTTACATTTTTCTAGGACATTTTATTTTCCTAATTCTCTGTTATAAGAGTTATCCTCCTTTTCAGGGTGGGACGAGAATTAAATTCGGAGCTCTTTATATATTTGTCTCTGCTTGGCAAAAAACGGCTACATGCTCAACCATAGGCGTCCTTAGAACGGTGTTACTGGGGAACATTGTTACAAGATATATAATGCTTGGCATTTTATATGATACTCTTCACAGTTAAACCCCCTTTTAACCCTCCATTTTTAATCAGATTTTTTTTAGAATCAATAGGCTTCATCCTTCCTATAAAAGTTTTATTTTTCCGGAAGAATTCAAGTTGATATCGTTTTTTGTTTCTGAGTTATGATTTTATTTTAATATTTTTAATCCCCATTAACCCCTCCATTTGTAATAAGATTTTTCAAATTCAATGAGCTTTGTCCCATTGTAAAGCTTGATTTTACCTGAAAATTTCAAGTTAATATTGTTTTTAGTTTTTGTTTTATGATTTTTTTTAAAGTTTTAACCCCCCTTAACCCCTTCATTTTTGATCAGATTTTTTTTTTAAATCAATAGGCTTCGTTCCATTGCAGAGTGATTTTTTCTAAAAATTTCAAGTTGATATTTTCTGTTTTTGATTTATGATTTAATTTTAACCCCTCTTAGTCCCCGATTTTAATCAGATTTTTTTTAATTATTGGCTGCGTCCCATTGCAGAGCTTGATTTTTCCTGAAAATTTTAAGTTGATAATGTTTTTCGTTTTTAATTTATGAATTTTTTTTAAATTTTATCCTCCTAAACCCCCCATTTTTAGTCAGATATTTTTAAAATCGAGTTTATCTTCGTTCCATTGTGGAACTTAATTTTTACTGAAAATTTCAAGTTGATATTGTTTTACTTTTTTATTTTATGATTTTTTAAAGTTTCATTTCCCCCTCAACCCCCAATTTTTAATCAAATTTTTTTTTAATAAATAGGCTTAGATTAGAGCTTGATTTTTCCTGAAAATTTTAAGTTGATATTGTTCTTCGTTTATGCTTTATGATTTTTTGTTTGTAACTCGACAACAATAAACAATAGCCAATTTTTGAAAATGCCATTAAGTTTTTCTCAAAAAAAAAGATCGAGGATGGAAAGTCCATTTTTCCATACCATTTATAGTTAAAGAGATTCTCTATTAAAACATCGAAATTTGCCCAACCTGTACTGATGCACTCTCAACATTTGTGACGTATTTGGAAAAATCGGTTATTTTCAAAAGATTTTTTTTAATTAATTTGTTTAATGTCGGCCTATTTGTAACAACGAAGGTTAGCTACACCCAAATACTAGAAATTTTGCCGAATCGTTTGGTATTGAACCAGGGGTAAGGATCGTTTGTATCGACTTGACAGTTCTCTGACCCAGAATTAAAAATGCCAATGACATTGTATCATAATGAATAATGTACGATTCGATATCTCCCCTTAACAACATGGTGTCGGTGTCTATACAGACAATGGGGTCTATTCTGTAACAATTCCTTTATATTTAACGGCCTTTAAAAATATTTTCTTCTTTACTTCTGTCATTATTTAAACGGATCTATAAAATACATTAGAGGACTATCTTAAAGAAATCTGTTTAAATAATGATAGAAGTAAATTAACGAATACAAATATACTTTTAAAGGCCGCCAATATTTTTAAAGGCCGTTAAATATAAAGGAATTGTTACAGAATAGACCCCAGTATGTGCGAACTTGATCTCATCTCATCAGCAGAGTAAGAATATTCTATGTTTATGTATACAACTGTGCTAGTACTATTCGTATTATGGTCATTCAATCAAGGCCATCTTTAATAATTATCATAATCTTGTACAATATTTATCATGTAAAGCTAGATTCATGACGACATCCAAAAATGCGGTTATTTCTAAAATATTAACTTATAGTTACTTTTTCACCATTTATTAATTCGACCTCGTAACCATCTAAAAATTGATGACGATTAAAATGGTGATTTTCTCGTTAAAATGTTATTTTTTTTTGTTACAGTATAATGGAGGTGCCAACGACAAAATACTTTCTAAGAAACTGCCTAATTTTAAGCATTTTAAGCACAATTGTGATAGCCCAAGTAGCCCAAAGATTATCATCTCCAAATCCTTGTATGTCGAATGGAAAATGTCATGAATGCATTCAGACGCCAGGATGCGCATGGTGTTACGATCCGGTAAGTAGTATTTCACCCCTCCAATTTATCTAATACTTTAGTATTTGGACTGTCATTATACATTTTAATTAACTTCTTGCAAGGTCTCTTAATAGGGTCGCGACACGCGACCTATTATTTGATTGTAAAATCCGTTTCACGAGAAAAGAATCCACAAGTTACAGTCGTATGCGCGAACTTGTCGTCATAACCAGCGCCATATAATAAAACTGATGTAACCATTTCAGAGTTTAATGCTTAAATAAAATATATAAATACGAAAATGATGTTAGTCAGTTTTAATGCAAGAAATGTTGAAATAAAAAAAAAATGCAATTTGCAAATCCCTTATAGACTCTATTAAATATGTAATACAAAAAAAAGATCACTTTCATGAGTTTTTATCGCATAAATCATTCATTTGGTCAATAAAGATTGCTATTGAATTAGCGGGTGGAAATTGGAGATAGGTGTGAAAATGCAACTCTTAGAGTGTTTTATTTATATCTCGGAAACGAAGTAAAATTCAGGTATAGTTAATACGAAATTTTTTGTATATACGATTTTACATCGAATTATTTATTTAAAATTATAAGAAAAAATATTTAAATAGCATTACTTTTTTGCGTGTAATTGCTTTCTGAGCGAAGTAAAATTCATGCAGTTAATATGAAATTTTTTGTAAAGAATACCATTATTTCACATTAAATTATTTATTTAAATTTTGTTATGTAAAAAATAAAAAAAAAAGAATTTAAAAAGCAAAAAAATCAATTTTTTTTTCGACTTTTTAGCTTATAATTGCTTTCTGAGTAGAGGTAGGTGCAGGCAAAAAAGTAGATTAAATTTCCTTTAAAATCGTGAGTTATAAACGTTTTTTTGGATAAAAATGTACTAGCTAAGTACTTCTTAGGACATAATCAATAGCCTATTACTTCAAGTCCTAAATATATCGTTTTGGTAATAAAAAAAGTTAAAAAAAAAACACAAAATAGAAACTTACAAAATTGTTTATTTTAATTTAGCAATGTTTGAAAAATATTACATATTACTAGATGGTTTACTCAAATTAGTGGCAAAAATCTTTGAAAAGTTGGAACTCAAATGCCATAATATAGCATAATATGTAACTTTAGTATTAAGTTTTAAATTTTGAGAAGCAGGGAAAAATATATAAATTTTAAAAACATTTCACATCTAAAAACTTTTAACGAACTCTGCAGCATACAATAATAGATAATCAAACGATAAGTGTAAACAATGAATACAAAATAGCTTAGTGATAATAAATGTTTGTTGTATTTCGTATTCAATTGACTGCTAGTTGCACATGTGTGAAATATTTAACAAAATTTTATACTTTTTACCCTTACTTCAAAAATTCAAACTTGTTTGATCCCATTTTATAGTTAAACAAATTGATGACATTTTAAATGTTATTTACTAATTATTGGAAAAGTATATTATAAAGAAATTTAAGATTTTTTGTTTAATGACTTTAGTGATATATCAATTTTAAAATCATCAATTTAAACCATATCACAAAATTTGAAATATGTTTATCTAGAATCTAGGTAGGGATGCTGGAAAAAATGGAGGTAATTATTTCTTATAGGCCTGTGTTATTAATCACTTTCAGAGTGGCTAATCAATTCTGTAATACTCCTACGGCTGTCACTGCTGCAATCATCCTCTGAAGTAGATTTTCCAAATAATGGTTGAAATAATACATTTTTGTTTCCGGTTATTTTTTAAATAATTTTAAATATGGAAAACTTTTTACTGAGGCCCTTCTATGTTTCCGATCATTCTGAGTCCGAAAATGCAAAAATTTTTCGTCTGTGTGTATGTATGCCAGCACAAGCACTCTAGAACGAAAGGTCTGATTGACTTGCGGTTTTGATTTTCTTAAATAATTACTTCTAACTTGAATCCTATTGATTTTCAGAGTTTTCCATTCATCCTAACTACTTTAATATCAATTTTCTTAAAATTCGCTTATGCATTTCTTATATGACAATTTTAGGAATTCCAATTATTTCTAACGTCAACATTCCTTACATTCTTTACATTCCATACATTGCAAACATTCTCTAATGACCTGTCAAACAACAGCTGTTGATAGTAAAGGTGAAATTTCTAAGGCGGGTTGCGACCTTCATATTTGTAACTATAGCCATTTTGGTGGCTATTCTTATTCGAAATTAGTCGCCAAGCCTGCCAATTTATGAAAAATATATAAGCAGTTTCTTAAAAATTACTTTTTTATTGTGGTGCTAACTTAAGCGTATTACTATTTCGCCCCTAGCCACAAAAACACCTTCATCAAATTTACTGTCTCTCTGTCGCAACCCCGTAGAATAAATAACCGGCCATTTTATTTGGCAAAAATCAGAATAGTGCTTGGCTGTGCCTGTCAAGTATCAAGATGTCAACTGTGATGTGTGAATGGCTCTTAAATGTCAATTATTTTAAAATGTATGCTTCTTTTGATATTTATTGCAAATAATTGGTAGTGTATCTCAATTAAGGCTTTCCATAAATAAAGGTACAGCAAGACAGATAATATAATGTTCTTATACAAAGCACTTTTTTATAATGCTGGTTTACATATTCAACCAGCGAATTGTAAATAATAATTAGTAAACACCTAGTCATAAATTTCGTCAATTCATAAAATTTAAAAATTAATCTTCTTACCTTGGGATTTTAATGACTTAATGTGATCAACCTATTTCAAATTCTGATCAATTATAATACCGAGGTATTTTGTTGTGTTTTTCATTTTAATTATAAAGTTGTCATTTATTTGTTTGTTAAAAGAAGGCCTTAGTAAATTACATTGCTCTCCATGGATCTACTTTAACACAAAAATAGTTTTGTGGCCATAAGTTGCTATTACGTATCGTCTGAAAACTATTAATAATTTAAACATAAGGGGCCAATTATTATTGGATAAATTGCCCTAATCAAAAGGCGATATAGAATGGTTTTAAAAATCAAGGCTTGTGAAAATCATCACATGGTTGAACCTAAGTAATGCCAATGCTTCACAAACCAAAAAATTCAACGTCCTAATACTACTATCGGCTTTCGGTCTTTCGTTCCAAGTTAAATTATTTCTCGTTTTTGTTACGCTACGAGTTTACCCTTGTGGGCCTCAGTCTTGATAAGGTGGGAACCACCATTTTAGCGTCTCTCGAATTTATTATTGGTTTTGTGAAAAATTTTATTCTTGATTAAAAGTTTTGCATGGTCCAAAACTTAAAATGCAACCATCAAATATCAATTTTTTTAAGCCGTGCACGAGATTTGTCAAAAACTATAAATTTTACTCAAGAGTAAAATACCTTTATTTATTACAATACAAAAGAATTTTATAAAGTAAAATTATTTTGAATTAAAAATATGCAATTATAGCTCTTTAGCATGAAAATTCAGATTAGGTGATTATTTAAGTTTTATATTATAAATTAAATAATTACCAAACCTAAATGTTAATGCTATATTGCTGTAATTGCATATTTATTTGAATATAACTTTACTTTATAACATTCTTCTGTATTGTAAAACATATTTTCGACGTTTTTTTGTATTTGTCATACAGTGTCTACTCAAGTTGGAACCATATGGAAAACTTTTTTATGATTCCCTAATAATACTGATCTGCCAGAAACATCTCATTTAGGTCATATGTATGTTTCTGACATAAATGGTACGTCCCTACGATGTTTCTAAACTCACATAACATCAATGTTCTATGAATATACTAAGTACGTTCTGTTTATGTTCTTTTTGGTATGTTTTTTCTAGAATGTTCTTAGGACATACCTAGTATATATTTTGAAAGTATATTCGAGAAAGTATATATACTGAGTACGTGCTTTGAAAGTATTATATGAAATATATACTGACAACATGAATTAAGCACTTGCTATAACAGTACACTCTTAGAAGATACTAAAAGTCATATACCCAACATGTAGCTCATATTCTGAGAACGTTCTAAATGGTTACAGGTAATAAGTTAACACGAAATACATATAAAAACACGTTTATATACATATCTATATGAATTTTTCCCAGATGCCGATTCGCTAGGTAACGCACTAATGTTAAGTGTTCAGACTAAAAAACATTCACAAACTTAATAGAAGAAAATGACATAACCTCAAATTTTTTGATCACGCTTGATCGCTTCGAATAGGTAAATAAATTAATAAAAATTAATAGCATCGTGTGTTCTATATAAAAATAAACAAATTTTACTATATTGTTAGTTTTTAGGACCTACAAGTGGAGCAGTCTGTTGCCCGGTATTAAGTATTTCATCAAAGTTCTTACTTTTACCTTCGATGTTAATTTAGACTATTGTATTATCATACTTTTTCTGTAAAATTTCCTGGAATTAGAAGTTTAACTTCAAGTTAGAAGACATTATTTCTATTATGTTTTTAATGGATGAAATATATAAAATATTTACATAACATAGTCCATATAAAATGTAAAAGACAAAGCGTGCTGAAAGTGATATTTTATTTTATGAGAAGGGAAGTTTGGAATACGACGCTGAAGGCGGAGTGTTCCATCCCTTCAAACAAAATAAAATCACTTTTAGCACGTATATCATACACTATTTTTTCTACAAACACTATTAAAAGTCCAAATTAACGCATACCTATGTTACATTAATTAATTGATAAAATAATAGCCTCGAGATTATCAGTTTTAAATCCAATTTCATCTAATCTATTCATGAAACAAGTTGCCAACGTAAACAAAAACCGAATTTGTTGATTTGTCTTTGTTGATAACTAACGTCAATAAATCACGAATTAATCTTTCTCGTTTCTTCGTTCCTCGATGGAAAGTTATCAAGAAAATGAATTTCTACCGCCGGAAATTAAAGAAACTGCCAATAAAGCTGCTTTTGAATTATTGCCTAGTAAGTCAAAGCAATAGTACGAGTTTTCATACGATCCTTTCTTGAAATGTCAGTGGCAAGGAGGCTAGTGAAAAAGTGCTTCTTGCATACTTTGAAGAAAAGTCCAAAATATGGAAATTGTCAACGCTTTGGTCGAATTACTCTATGTTAAAGTCAATGATGAATATAAATAATCATGACATAAGCGGATATTGCAAGCTTGAGGCTTTTTTGAAGCACTAGCGCTAAAAGTGATTTACTTTTAACACCAGTGTCATAAAATGGCATTTTAGACACTGACAGCATGCGTTAAAAATTATACTTTTACTGACGTTTGTAGAAAAAATGTGTTATTTTAACAAAATAACAATATAATAAAATATCTTGCCAAGCAATCATTATTCATTTTTTATTTTAGAATTTCGGTGACGGCCCTCGCTGCTTCCAACCATCCCTCGAATATCAGCAACAAAAAAAATGTCCCGAAGAATTCGTCAACAACCCCGACAACATACTAAGCGTCCTCAAAAACTTGGAATTGACGAAAGCCCGTAAAGGAGCAATCGGGGGCGGCGGTACCCTAGTGAGCGGGTTCGAAGGCAGCTACAATGCGTCAGAAAGTTGGTCCGCCGGCGGATCGGAAACAGTATTCGGAGGAGGTGGCGGTGCGGGTGCTGGTGCTGGACAAATCGTGCAACTTCAACCGCAAAGACTGAAATTACAGTTAAGAGCAAGTAAGTAAGATTTAATAAAAGTAAATAATAATAATAATAATAAAAAGTAAAAATCTAATTATTATGTACAATGGACGTCCTCTGTGAAAGTATGGATAATCTCAGATTTCGAATATTTGCAAACTGTCGCAATTTAAATTATGTTGCCATATGTCCCTATATGTCAGTGCCATGTCAATCTAAAATATAAAAAAATAAGTATTGTATAAATGTTTGAACTATTTTTACCTTTCATTTAAGTCATGTTGATTTTATTTTTGTTGCTCAATAACGCCAGAACGGCTGAACGGATTTCGATTAAATTTGGTACAGAGAGATTATAGTCTGGAATAGCACTTAGGCTACTTTTTATCCCGAAAAAATTTACGGTTACTGTGGGATAGATTTGTTTTTGTTTTTCACAGAGCAAGGGTTCAGACATAATTTTTTGCATAGTGGTAGTAAAACATGAAAATTTGAAATACAGCTACTGAGCATACATAAATAACGATGTGTTTCATGGATTTTGGATTTTCATAATTTAAGAGAAAAAGAGGAGAAAGGAAAAAAAGGGGAACGGGGAGAAATTGCTAAACGGGAGAAAGGGAGAAAGTTTGTATCGCTTTTTTAAAGGTAGGAAATTGAAAATTGGAACTGTAGCTACTCATTATAAATAAATAATATTTTAGGGTTTTTGGATTTTCACATTTTAAGGAGGGGTGTATGGGGGAGTATCGTAAAAGTAAATAAAAATAAGTAAACATAAACAAAAATTAAAAATGAAAATTAATAAAATTTAATAAACATTGATAAAATATAATAAAAATTAATAAAAAATAAATTAATACAAAATTATAAAAATTTATAAAAATTTATAAAAATTATAAAAATTTATAAAAATTTATAAAAATTTATAAAAATAATATAAAAATTTATAAAAAACACAATGTTATTTTGAAAGTTCAAATTCTCTGAATCATTAGGAAGGTAAAAAAGGGACTTTTCAAAACAATAATAATCCAATATGGCGCCTATATGAAAAACAAAGTTGATGATGGTTCCAAGAAACCGAAACGTTGCAATTAAAATCTGACGACACAGGCGGTTTATACGTAAAAAGTTGCTCCAAGAAAGTTTTTACAGATTTTAGAAATTTTCATAAATAAAGAAAAAACAGGGTATTTTCGGAAATGCGTCAATTTCGTTTTTTCAAAATATCTCAAGAACCAAAAGAGAAAAAATAAACATTGATAAAATATAATAAAAATTAATAAAAAATAAATTAATACAAAATAATAAAAATTTATAAAAATTTATAAAAATTTAAAAAAGTTTATAAAAATTTATAAAAATTTATAAAAATTTATAAAAATTTATAAAAATTTATAAAAATTTATAAAAATTTATAAAAATTTATAAAAATTTATAAAAATTTATAAAAATTTATAAAAATTTATAAAAATTTATAAAAATTTATAAAAATTTATAAAAATTTATAAAAATTTATAAAAATTTATAAAAATTTATATAAAAATTTATAAAAATTTATAAAAATGTATAATAATTTATAAAAATTTATGAAAATTTATGAAAATTTATGAAAATTTATGAAAATTTATGAAAATTTATGAAAATTTATGAAAATTTATAAAAATTTATAAAAAATTATAGAAATTATAAAAATTATAAAAAATTTGTAAAAATTTATGAACATTTATAAAAATTTATAAAAAACACAATGTTATTTTGAAAGTTCAAATTCTCTGCATCATTAGGAAGGTAAAAAAAGGGACTTTTCGAAACAATAATAATCCAATATGGCGCCTATATGAAAAAACAAAGTTGATGATGGTTCCAAGAAACCGAAACGTTGCAATTAAAATCTGACGACACAGGTTTGACGAGCTGACAACTGACATGACATTTCGATACGAGCGCCATCCCGTTAATTGGAGTGGTACTAAATTACCAGCCTCATGTTTTTCCATTTGAGTTACCAGCCCCTGGTTCAAATTCTCTGCATCATTAGGAATATGGCGCCTGTATGAAAAAACAAAGATGATGATGGTTCCAAGAAACCGAAACGTTGCAATTAAAATCTGACGACACAGGCGGTTTCTACGTAAAAAGTTGCTCCAAGAAAGTTTTTACAGATTTTAGATATTTTCATAAATAAAGAAAATTAGGGTATTTTCGGAAATGCGTCAATTTGGTTTTTTCAAAATATCTCAAAAACCAAAAGAGAAAAAATCTCAAACTAAACGGCACTGAATTATAAACAGAATTGTCTAAAATTTTCCTCATTTAACCGTTTTTCTATCTCTAACAGTTTCGGAGATCGCAATACATGTATATATCATATCCTAATAAAATATCGGTCACTCAACAAATGATCCCTAGGTATTTAATGACACTGACACATAACGTCAGTTTACAAACATTCGAAATCGGAGTATAAAATTTAATAATAACATAAAATTGAACACACTGTTTATGTTCCAACTGTGTTTAGGACAATCGTACAGCATATATATGAAATACACCCAAGCCGAAGACTATCCTGTAGATCTGTACTACCTTATGGATCTCAGTAAATCTATGTACGACGACAAAGAAAAATTATCATATTTGGGAGACAAGCTGGCTACTACCATGAAAAAATTAACCTCAAATTTCAGGCTCGGTTTTGGCAGTTTTGTTGACAAAGTCGTTATGCCTTACGTCAGTACCCTGCCAGAGAAGTGAGTATGATTTTTTGTTTGTCAATTTTGTTTTTTTTAGGCTGTTTGACAAAAGTACAATTTTTCTGATATGTAAGATCCACTTTTATTTAGTCTTTGAAATATCTTGATTACATGGTTCACCTTATTGAAATTTAATCTGAAAAGTACAATTTTACTATTTCGGACAATTTAAAATAGTTTTAATGTATATTTATTGAGTTAACTATCCAGAATGATAGAAAAAAGATTTGTACAAAATCTCACTATTTGTTCCTTGGACCAAAATTTAATAAAAACAAATTGCATCGTTTCAAACGATTTTTAAATAAAAACTTGCACCATACAAAGCTCAAATGAACCAACTTTGTACCAAAGTTGGTTTAGTTAAATTGGTTTATTTAGGTCCAATGAACACATTGTAGTCATAAATCTTTTAACGTTTATATAAAATTTAAAATAGCGGGAGGAGAAGCTTATTTCAATCAAAATTAACTAATCCACTATTTATGATTGAAATTTATTGTAAATTCATCTTTAAGAAATTATTGTACTTTTGTTGGTATAAATTTAGGTTTTCTTTTAATATAATCGCATTTTCGTGTGCATTGATGGATGTAAATGTTATTTTAAAAAGTGTTCTGTTGGCTACTCCAGGTTGCGGCGTCCCTGTGACATTTGTGTAGCTCCATATGGATTTCGCCACCATATGACCCTTGACAAAAATACGCAATTGTTTTCAGTAAGTTTCCCGAATCATTTTTATATAACACTTCCTGAGTCCTTGTAAAATAATTGGAAATGTATTTCAATAGAAAAAAATATGGCAAAGGTATGAGTGAAGATTACTCGCTTCGTGTTGATTTTCGCAAAATTGTTTCATACGCTATCAATGATCTTTACGATTTCAACGCGGATTAGAGATTGCCCATGAGCTTTCTACTTCTGCCTGATGATGCCCTAACTAAGGCAAACCCGTAGCTCCTTAAATGCTAAATCAAAGACTATATTGAGTTGATCACCAACACTCATTAAAACTCTTGTAATTCAATGTCCGGAGGAGCAAATAGTTCTGGAAGTAGTTGTTTAGAGTTTCAATGTTGGTCATGTCCTCTGATTCAAAAGCGGGTATTCTACAGCTCATGGTGTTATTATCACCCTGTATTTATACAACATTTTTTTTATTTCGGTCTTTAAAATCATATTTAAAAAAAATAGTGTCATATCTTTTTAGAAAAATACATTGACAATTTGTATCCCGATCCTCTTTTCTCCCTTTTTTTAAGTCAATCTCTTCCATCATATAGTTCCTTTCGGCTAAGTCATTATTTTTGTACAAATGCTTGAAAGTATTTGAAACTTAGTGGGCAAAATTCTTATTGTTAAGCGTGATAAAAGCAATTGCTTGATTATTATTTTGGGAGTAAACGTAGATAGTGCTTTTTTTGTAATTAAAGTAGCTACAAAAAATAGTTGTAAATAAAACTGTAACTCATGTGAAATTTGAAATTAAGATATCGGTACCTACTTAAAATTTATGAGTTTGTTTATACTTGTTTAAATTTAATGGCATAATTAACGTTCAGTTCTATTGTTTGCCTCACAATTCGTTTATTTATTTATTTATAAATTTGAAGTTTTAAACACGTTCTAATTTTATTTACATCATTAAGTAGTTACTCTTGTTTACAAAATTATTGGGTTATCTTTGGACAGTAATTATTAAGGACTAAAATTTAGATATTTTTATTATACAAGAGCTGTTTCACAAGTCTTTGCAAAAATAAAGAAAACATTGGTAATTTTCGTGAGTAGTTTCCTTTTTATAATCATCTCCACTTTTAGTATTCTTGCTTTTTGTAAATCATATGAAGGGTTTTCAACGTCTTCGGGTACCTATTACTATTATTTATAAAACTCCAAACTCTCAAATCCATTTCATTCCTAAAAAGTAATCAATAATTACTTTTGGATGATTATAATAGATTTTTTTATCTAATGTCAATGTGGTAAGGTTAGGTTGAAAATGAATGGAATGATCTCATCGCCTTCCACTGCGACCCAAATGGGTCTATTGCGGCTCATGATTAACTTATAGTTCACCGCACAAGCCACACCTTTTGATAAAAGCCATGATTAAATTGGGTGAGACTTGTTTAAAATCGGTAGGCTCCAGTCGGGTAAATCTTTCCAGAAGGGAGCAGGTACATAGAATGTGCTCTGCAGACTCGTCATCCACGCTGCAGAATCGACAGTCCAATGTTTGTTGCAGACCTATCCTTCTCATGTGGTTGCTCAGACGGCAGTGTCCTATCAGCAGTCCAGTGAAAATGCGTAGATATTTCCTACTCCATTCACGGATCTAAGCAGAGGCGTTCATATAAAGGTTGCTTATAAATGAGAGCCTTGGGGTATCTCTCCAGTTCGTAAGTGTTGCACCCTCCGTCCATTTTAAGATAATTCCTTTGGCAGTGCTCTTTGCAATGCCCAGGAATGGTTCTGATCCAATGAACACAAATTTGGTTCCTCTTTTAGCAAGTACGTCGGCTTTTACGTTGCCCTCCACACCACTGTGTCCCGAAACTCAGATCAAAGTAACTTTGTTCCGAGCACCGAGACATTCAAAGGTATTTATACAGTTTCAAACCAGCTTTGAGTCAACTCGATTGGAGCTCAGGGTCTTAAGGGCTGCCTGGCTATCTAAAAAGATCTTTATAGTCTTGTTTGCAGAGAAAATTAATCAACTCTCTCGCTTCAAATTCTATAGCAATCATTTCTGCTTGGAAGATCGTGGCCAGAAATCCTAGGTTTATTGATATGTCAACTCTAGGCCTCTGGCCGAAAACTCCCGTTCCTACTCCTTTTTCAGTTTTGGAGCCGTCCGTGTACAATGCATAGTCTGCCTGGGAGAGGGTTTTTCTCCTGTTCTATACGTCTTTTTCTGGAATGAGGACGCTGTATGGCTTTTCTGTGTGCTGTCGGGGAACTAGCGAGTCCGAGATCATGCCGAGAATGAGGTGGTTATTAATCTCACCCATCAGCCCCGTCTTGTCCCATCGTAGTTCTTCTACCCACCTTCAGGAGTCCAGACCATCCTGGCCTCCCTTTCCAGCAGAATGTGGTTGACATTGCTCCAGTTATGGCTAGTCACGCAAGCCGCTGTATTCCAGCCAGCTTTGATCTGGCCGTCCCTTGAAGTCCCTTGTCCCACCAGACGACAGAGCCGTACGTACCCATGGGTTTTACCACTGTTTGGTACATCCAGTAGATCAGTTGAGGACTGATCCCCCATGCTTTGCCGCTTATATTTCTAAGGGTCCAAAGGGATAATCTGGCTCTGTTAATGGTTCTATCCAAGGTGAGTTTCTTATCTAGGGTGATCCCCAGATATTTCACCTCCTCTGCAAAAGAAATGGTTTCCCCAACCAAGGTAGGTTGTCGAAGCTTGTCGAGCTTTCTTCTCTTGGTAAAGGGGACAATAACAGTATTGCGGGTGTTAACAAATATTTGCTCCCTCTCGCACCATCTGTTGATCGTATTAAGGGCTTGTTAAAGGATGTTGGAGATCACCTCTTAGTACTTTCCCCTAATTATGATAACTAGATCGCATAGCATTGGAAATGCACCCCCTGCCGGGAGAGATCGTCTAGCACGTTATCCACCAGAATGGTCTACATTAGGGGTGAAAGTACGGCGCCTTGTGGACATCCTCTGGCAGGCCTAAAAGTGACAGTCTCTCCCTGTAGTGATGAAGTAATGTTCCGGTTTGCCAGCATGCTTTTGATCCAATTACAAGTTAGTTTGTCTATTCCTCTTCTTTCAGTAGAAGCGAACAAAGACTGAGGAAGAGCGTTGTTGAACGCATCTAGGAAGGCATCTAGCGCAATCTTCCCGATTTAGGGAATGGCCGAGTTTGCCTACTAGATTATGCAGGGCATGATCTGTCGATTTGCCTGCTTGGGAGGAGTTTAACGGGCTTGCCCGAAGGCCTCCTCTAATATGCCTAACTAGAATCATCTCTAGTGTTTTTAGAAGAAAGAATGTTAGGCAGATTGGACGGTAAGAGTTTGGTAGGGAGGTATTTGCTCTACCAGCCTTGTGTATATACACGACTTTTGCCATCGTCCATCCTAGCGGGATATAGCTCCATGCCAGGCTTGCTGTAAACAGCCTCACAAAGAGGAGTAGCAGGAATTCCTCTCCTTTTTGCAAAAGGGCAGGAAAAATGCCATCCTCTCAGGGTGATTTGAAGGGCGAGAATGAATTCATCGCCCATTTCACGGCATTTGGAGAGACAATTTGTATAATCGATTCCCTTAGAGCAGTGGTTCTCAAACTTTTTTGGTGACGGAACCTTTTTGAAAAGTGAAATATTTGACGGAGCCCTAAACACATTTCGGAAAAGTCCTTCTTGCTCTAGCCTCTTGTCAGGTCCCACCCGTTTCTTTGCGGAGCCCCTACAAACAAAATTCAACTCACCTGGTTTCTAAAAAAAAGCTCCTCCAACACAAGATACCAACATCATATACTTTCATTTACCTGGCTTCTAAAAAAAAAGTCCTCGAACCCAAAATCCTTAAATACCCAAATTGTATACTCCCTCTAAAAACTCGAGTCTCATTATAGCGATAGGTACGACTTTTTTTGTTATTTTCTTCGCAGAGCCCCCACAAAGACTTTGTGGAGCTCCAGGGCTCCGCGGAGCACATTTTGAGTAACGCTTCCTTAGAGGAAGGGGTACCATGTTGCCTGTCCTCCAGGATTCGACTGCCTGGGAAGTGTTTCTGTAGAAGAATCTCTAAAATTTCCCTGCCAGAGTCCGTAGGTGTTGTCGGATCTTTTTATCGAGCTGACTTCCTGTCTCGGATAGCCTTGTACTCCGTTAGGGATTTGCGGTATTTTTCCCAGCAGCTAAATTCTTTAGCTCGATTGAAGAGATGCCGAACTTTTTTTCTTTATGGTCGAGGCTTTTGCTCCACCATGGAGTACCCCCCAGGCCTTTTATCTCCTTTAGTGGGCAGTTGTCCTGATAGACAGTAATAAGGGCATTTTGAATTTGATTATTCGCTACTTCAATCTCTGCGCTATTCTTAATAGTTTTAATTACGTTTCCAAGCCCCTCCTGGAGCGACTTTTCGTGTCCACTCCAGTTTGTGCTTTTAGGGTCCGTCCTCATGTCAAATCTGATGTGTCTATGATCAAAGCATGAGGGTTACCGTCCAGTTAACAATAATGGCATTCACAAACGACGTACTGATTGTTATATCTAGAACTAAACATCTTGCGTATTGTTTTTCATTGGATTTTTTTTAATTTAATTTACAATCTTCTTTCGTTTAATATTGTGTGAAGTACTTATCACAATAATGTTCAGGGGGCTGTATATCATTTGTCCGTTTTGGTAAAATAGAAAATGTTTAAATACCGATCAACCACTCTTAATCGAATGTGTAAAATACTGATGTTTAATTAGCTTGGTTTTGGTTTCCGTTTATCTTTCCGGCTCGAAGGACCAAAAAGTTTGTTGATATTTTAAACATTACACCTTTTACTTCCTAAACATTTTGATAAACATTGATTTTCAATAAGGTATCCTTTTCATTGTAGACGGCCTATTTTTTGCACAGAATTCTTGAATAGCTCTTGTATAGCTTTATATAGCTCTTAATTAATAGTATGAAATTTCAGAATATTCTGATTGACTTCGGAATATTTTTTTTACATTAATCAAATAGTGCAATTAAAAATTAATACTGATTCGAATGAATATTTTTTTTGGTACGTGGGTTCTTTTTAAAAATATATCATGAAACAGCAAATGACTTAGTTGCTTCTCTTGTTTTGTCTCTATCTAGTGCTTGCCATAAATGGTTGTGACTAGAGTTTTATTCTATTTGGTTATTGGTATCTATTTGTATTGAAATGAAATGTTTCTTCTATTTAGTATAGCATAATATGGTGTTGCAAAGGTTCGTTCAGAATAGCGGATTTTATGAAATTATAATTACTGAATTTTTGTGAGTTTGGTATATAATTTGGAGATACAGAAGTATATAATATACTTCTAATTAAACAGAAAGAAATGCAAGTAAAGTTTTTATCTGGTTTACTTATAAAAAATAACAGTTAATTTTCTGAAACCTTGTTCTATGAATTTTTAAAATTTAAATATTGAAAGGCATCGATAGATGTTCCTCACAAGAAATCACACGTTCTAGGAGTCATAGATAACTAAAGTATTAATTAAATAAAAAAATGTATATCTACAATCTACTAAACCGGACACAAAAATAGAGTAATTCTAAATTCAAAAATTAAAAAAATATAAAAATATTTACTATTCTTTTAACAATTCAAATTGCAAAAAACTGAAGAAATCTTCATGTGGCATGTTAAGATATGGGATGTGTTTTAGACTTTTGTGAATAATTTAGTCAACTATTAAGTAGTAGCATGTTAAGGAAATAAAATTGTTACCATAATATATATTATAATATAAAACGTAAACTAAATATAAAAAAAATGTAGTGTAGACATTAACAAAATATACTTTTATGTTAGATCATAATATGATGGCGAAATTGTTCCTCTATAGGGAGGGAAATATCTAGAAACTCGGAACTTTATCGTACAGATTTACTTCGATATTTGAACACTGTATAACAATTATACTTACCAATATTTCAAAGCTAATTCCAGGTTAATTATCTTACAATTATAAAATATTCTAAAGTTCTACCGTCAGTTATATAGCGAGAGAAATATCTGATTTGTATCAATCTTGGAAGTGTTTACTGTAATAGAAAGTAAAAGGCAGCTTTAGGAAAAAGTTACAAACTTTGAAATTTATTCTAAAATATGTCTGAATTTTGTCTCCCTTTATAGCTTATCTGGGCCCATATTTATAAACCGATCTCAGCTGAGTTGGACTTGGAGTTGGCCTTGAAAGAAAATCAAAGTTTAGTTATAGATTTCCAGATGGTTCCGATGTTGAACCGTAATTTAGAGATGGACAGTATCAAATCCGTAACTGTTAAGTACATATTACGGATTTGTTACTACCCACCTCTAAATTCATAGGATTTAACAACTTGCTGAGACGGATTCACCAGATATCTGTTTATAAATATGGGCCTTAGGAACTGTGAATATTTTAAAAGATATTAGGAGTATGCAGGGCGGCAAACCTCTAGCATTGATTTGTTGGTGTTTATTTATAGTTTAAGACACCCCTGCGAAGGTTGTGCAGCCCCTTACGGCTACAAGCACGCTATGAGGCTATCGACGAATACACAACAATTTTCAGTAAGTTCGCGAGTACCGGTCGACATTAACACAGTTGAGCAATTTATTAACCGCAATTTAATCAATTTAATGAAGAATTACTACCCAACCCCCCTTTCTGTCTATACATAAAACCTTTTTCTTTTTAATTAATAAAATAATTTTTATCGGTGTTGGATTTTCTTATTAATTACTTTAATGTTTATATTGTTTATATAAATATAATATATCAGGCTGACTTAAATTTATACAACATTCTTGTTAATCTTTTGTACACAAAAGTTAAGCAAACAGAAGAATGAAGAAATTACTTTCAACAGTGTCATTATAATTAAAGTGGGATTTAATCGTCCATATGAATATATACAGAGTAATAACAATGCCTGTAGCCCACTCCCACGTGACTAAATTGATGTCATTATTTGGCTTAACGTAACATTAATAACTTGAATAGTAACCCTAAACCAACGTCATTGGCTTATTTGACAGAACTGATCCTTAAATTGTCACCAAGAACGGCCATTTTTATTAAATTTCTTGTTTAACTAGATCACGTGATATACGGGTATTGTTGTCGTTATTTTCATATAAACTCCTGGACAAAATTAACGCACCACTTTAATTAATCTAAATATTTACAATATAAACACAACATAAAACTAATAGCGTCTTCGATTCCACTGCCCTGCCTGCGTGGAGTGCACATAAAAGATGAGCGATATATCGATACCGGTTACATTTCAGATTGAAAAGTAACTGGTATTGACATATTTCCCACCTTTCGTATGCACCCAGTACAAGCCGTGCACTAGATTCGAAGACGCTATAAGTTACATTGAAATAATGATGAACACCTAAAAATTAGTCGAATATGACCTTAATTTGCCTTATTTTTTCCATAAAAATTTGTTTTTGCTGGAAACGCATAAATAAGCTAGCATAACTCCAAATTAAAAAAAAAAAAAAATCAGTAAAAGAATATATGCATCTGGGTCAACCCTAATATCACGTAGGCCCTCCTCTACTTCTTATCACTGCATACATGCGTCGCGGCATGCTTGATATCAAATGTTCAACAAAAGCTTGCGGTATATTCTCCCATTCTTCAATAACGACCTTATGAGTTGGTTGTGATTAGAAACAGGGGTCTATGACTTTGAATCCTCTTTTTGAGATAGTCCCATAGATGTTCTATAGGATTCATATCCGGACTGTTAGGTGGCCACTCTAATAAAGGAATATTAACATCATGTAAGTAACCAATAACCTGTCTAGTCACGTGGGGACGAGCGTTGTCCTGCATGAATAAAAAATTGGACCCAACAAACTGAGCAAAAGGCATTATATGTTCGAAAATAATGTTGTCTAAGTAATATTGGGCATTCATAGATCTCGTACGTATAGGAACCAACTCCGTACGAGCATCGAAGCAAATTCCTCCCCAAAACATTTTAGAGCCACCACCACAAGGCACTTTAGGAGAGATATTACAGCTGGCAAACCTTTCTCCTTGTCTTCGCCAGACACGCTCGCGTCCATCTGGAGATTTAAGGCTAACTCTAGTTTCATCGAAGAACAGAACCCGTTTCCAATCATTGATGGTCCAATTCTGATGTAGTCTGGCAAAATTTAATCTGAACTTTGTGTTCTCTGGCAAGCAAGGGGTTTTTGGCTGGTCTTCTGTTGCTTAATCCTGCTTCATGTAAACGTCTTCTAACCGTTCGAGACGATATAGCGATATTTCGAACATCTGCTAATTCATTTTTAAGCAGATTGCTGGTTACTCTCCTGTCTCTAAGAGCATGTTGTCTCAAAAAACGATCATCAATTTGATTAGTGCAACGTTTTCGCCCTTGTCCTGGTCTTCGATGGTACGAACCCGTTTCATTATGTCGCCTCACTATGCGACTGATGCTGGAATGATGTCTTCCTAACAAACCAGCAACATATCGCATTGAATATCCTTCATTCAGGAGAGTCGATGCTCGCACTGCCTCCTCCAGTGACAGATTTTTTTGACGGTTTATATTTTTTTTACTTGATATTCTCCCAAATGAACTTCCAATCATGCATGTAATAAAAACAATTACAATCAACAGCTTGCTTCTAACAGAAACTTTGCTTTAATCAGCACTTTTTAAGAACATGTTAACACAGTTTTAGTCTAAAACGAGGTTTAATACGAATTACTGTCAAAACAAGGTATTACGTGACACTAGCTAGCTTAAAAAACAACTGTCACTGTCAAACAAGGTCCATGGCCTACTTGTCGTACAGTAAGTTATCAATAAATAAAGATTATCGAGCAAAATATAAGTGGTGCGTTAATTTTGTCCAGGAGTTTATTTTTACTTTTGCTGATTTAAGTATAAATGCATTGATCAATCTGATGTAGTCGAATAAATAAAATAAATAGAAGATCCATCCGTTCGTGTGTTAAACTCAATCAACTGAGCATGACTGAAGTGTGTACCCCTGATATGGAATGGAGTTTTGTTTATCAAAAAGTGGTGCCTTAGTCAGAAAATGTAGAGGAGAATTGAAGAGCTCGTCCCACAATTGTCTGGAAAGATCCTATTAAAATAATTATGATGCATATTGTAGTAGGTCACATTTGTTTTGTTATTCATCTGAGGTAACAAGACTTCTGTGTATTACACTAAAGAAACCCTCAAACCTCACCTATTAACCATATCTTCAGATCAACATTTTTAACACTACACATTTAATTATAGCAAAGGTATTTTTCGACTTGTGCAAATGATTTTACGGTCAACTTTCCAATCTTTTTAAATACCTCACCAGTTGAGCACGTATTTGACATTATTGACAGGAAATTGCCGCATTGATCTATTCTTCCTTAAACACTGAAGGCCCAAGGAATGACTAAATGATCAACTCATATTGTCTGAAATTTTGAACACAATACATGATCCTCAAATAGTTGCATAATGTGTCCTAGAGTACTAGAGACGAACCAAAGTGATAACGGGTGGATCCGAAGGGTGAATAGTGGAACAGGAAACAAACGCATTAGATAATTGTTAATCGGGTAAACCACACAAATTTGTCTGAAATTTTAAACATAAAATTCTCAATTGGTAGTACAATAAGCTTTGAAGGCTGCAGTTCCACCGCACTTGTGTCCTAGGGGTCTTAGAGATGGATTGAAGTGTTATCGGGGACCCGAAGAATGTTAATAGATTTTTAATTAAGCCTAAGGGATCCGGATTGCAGAATTTTGCTTCTCCAAAACACAGCTTCTTAATTTGCTAATAAAAGTGTACTCTAGCTTTGATTCTGCCTAGTAAGGATCTAGGTTGAAATGTTTCTTTTTCCACACCATTTCAACTTTCAATTTTTCCTTATTCTGTTCTATTGTTCTTTTTTTACCCTCTTTCTCAACTGGGTCATGAATGGGCCAGACAGTCTTTAAGGCCATATCGAGTCAGAAAGTGACATCGAGGTTGGTTTGGCTTTGCAAAGATCACTGGCAGACCAAACTAGTTTAGGTCACCACGAGATTGAGGGCAATGAAAATTCTGATTATCTAGCAAAAAGAGGGTCATAAGTAAAGACCGGACATTTTAATCGCGTTCAAATAATTGGTTTTAATCACATAGGCGTCTCATTCTGGGTTCGCTATTTAAGACGGCAGACAGTGCGGCAGATTCTAATACTATCAGGACAAACCTCTTTTTTTTATTAAAACAAGATAAAAAAAGTGTACTGATATATACATAGACATTAAAACTAATACAAAAAAGTGAGATTTTTTTTTATCGTGTACCTATATTCTTTGTCTTTTGAATCATTTTCATTAAACAAATTTAATGTTTTCTTCTCACCAACGCCGAGGATATGTAGGATATTTTACAAAAGTTTTTAGTAACCTCAGATCCTTTAATTTGTGGCCTGAGAAATTTTCCTTAAAAAAAAATAACTTTTTTGATGAAGATGTTAAACTTTTCATAAGCGAGTTTAAGGTGTAGTAATGTAAACGATATTCTGTATGATATTTTTTTTATTATTATCTCTTATATAATTACAAAATATCTATTCCTCAATATTTTGGCGTGGTACACTACTCTCCTGCCTAAAATGAGGATCGAGGACCCCAGCTGCCTCCCCCGAATTTGTTATTTCCTCCAGAAAATTGGAAATTTCTAGCCTTAGCTGGTCCCGATTCATTGTTGGAGAAATTGCATCGGGGCCAAATATTAGGACTCTACGAGCGTTTGGACTAAGACGCTGTAGAGAGGGCCTAAAATGAATGTCAAATAGGCCCATCATATGTTGTCTTATACTTTCTCGATCCATTGTCGGTTAGTTGCCGGTGATATTTTTATTCAAATAAAGTCAATCCTTATATTATATTTATGAATATTTTGGCTTTTATCGATACCGTACATACCGATTTTTTGTAACAAAACATTTATGTTTTTATTTCCTGTGGATATTATGGTACTTATACACGATGAGACAATAAAATAAATGTCTGTTAAATTTCTGTAATGTATGTATTAATTCAATTGCTCACTCTATATAGGTATCTGTTGGTTGAAAAAATGTAAAAAGATAACAAAGAGTCGATAAACAGGAGATTTGAGAAGAAAGTGTCTTGTAAAAATATCACTAGATTTTTCCAATGAGTATATTTGTTTAGTTCAAAGGGAAAAGTGATAGAAACTGGAAACGTAAATATGGAAAATTTATTATCGGACTTTGATTGTTTTCGTCGTTTTAATGACAACAAATTATACTGCCGCAATTGTGATCAGGTGTTAGTTTTTAATGGAAAGTCAAGTATGACACAACATGTGAAAACACAAAAACACATGCAATCTTTAGAGGGATGTCCAGACAAAATCTTTTATGAAGATTTATGCAACGCATTTGTTTCTGCAAATATTCCATTAACAAAATTAAATAATACAATTTTCAAAAATTTTCTTTGTAAATATACTAAACGTAAAATACCGGATGAATCCACAATTAGAAAACATTATATTCAAAATCAG